TTCCTCCTTATAATTTTGCATAACTGCGTTTTTGCACAAACAAGAAACTGACGACATAACTTCAAGGCAGTTTACTCTCCCTGCTTGTTTAAAAAATCAAGTTTGTTTAGCTAGAACAAAATTCCTGTTTGAGATCACCTTGCCTGTGGTCATATTCTCAGTTCTCAGCTTGAAGCATTTTAATAGCAAAATATTGCACAAATTTTGTATTTTGCCAGGCTCTAGTTTCAGAATCCTGAAAAATAAACTTGACATCACCTTGCATACGTCGAGTTACTGGGTTTTCAGTCGCTGATGTTTATTTATATCATATTCTTCAGATCTCTCTTGTGGCGCATTTATATTTCAGCTGTGAGCTTTGGTAAATGTGTTTTTATGGCATCAACAGTGAATTCTGTATTTGCTCTGAGGTAGGTGTACAGGACTAGTCCTTCCAGTTACAGATGAGTGAAATATTTTTCCTAAGAATCATCAACTATGACTTTTGATTTGATGGGTAATGAATTTTTGTCAGTTCTTTTGGCATATTAAACAGAACTAAATTAAGGCGGCAATTCTTTGTTATTGGACTTATCCACCTTGGCTCTTTTTTTCAAAGTTAGAGGCTGTGAGTAAACATCTGTGACTTGCTCCAGCTGGAATGCGTAACTCAATGCCTTTTATAAGCTTGTCCAATAGCATGGGCCCCTGGGGGTGATGGACAAGGGGTGTCACCATGGTACCAGGGCAAAGGGCGCTCTTCCCCCTTTGCCAACTGCACTGTTGTCGGCAAACCTATTACTGCTTGCCCTCTCCCCCAACCTACATACATCCCTGTCAAATCCTAATCTCCCGGAGCATCCACTGGACTGTTTCAGGCCTCCAGCACAATGGCCCTCTGTAGTTGTGCTGGCATGTGGAGACTAGCCTTTAGGATCCTCTTTTTTTTTTTTTTTTTCCATTTTGTCTTTATAGCAGAAAGGTCAATTTCAAAGACTTCTTGGGTCGAGTTTGACTGCTGAAAGGGTCCGAATCTACTGCCGGTGAGAGAGGTTCTTGCGACCAATGCAGCTTCTTGTGCCGGGCTGATCAAGGGAGGAATGCTGTGATAGGCCCCTTTTTCCACCTTTTTGAGAGCAGCCCGCCATTCCTGAGAGCTGAAAGGGCGTCTTTATCCGTAACCGGAGATGAGGTTTAAGTTCTTTCATGTACCTGCCAATTCCATCAGGCTCTTTGTGAATGCTCAATGGTGGGACTGTAGTGGAAAAGTGCGGAAAGCTGAAGAAGGTCATGCTACTGACTGTACCTCCAGTCATACCTGTCAGTGTCAATGATGTGCGATAAGACTTCAGGCATTTTACAGATTTAAAAAAACCTTAAAAAATTGGTGACAGGGTTTTCAGCAGGAGGTGGAGTTCTCGTCTTTAGTCTACAGTTTGTGTCAAAAAAGATTGACTTAACAAGTTTAAAACTGGAGGATTGGCGGTGTTTAAATCCCGTGTTTGGCAGGTATTACAAAACAGCATTATAATGTGCTGTCTGAGGTGTGGAATGTTTAAAGAGTGAGTGTTTTTTGTGATAGAGCCTCGCTGAAGGAAGTCGTGGGTGCAGGTGTCTCAGTAGTAACATATTCATGAACAACAGTTCTCTAATCTTTATATGTGAACATAAAAACGTGTTCACATCTCGTTTGTACTTGCATGACGTTTCTAACTATCCTACAAGACTAAAAGGTTGGGCTTGTCTGTCAGGAATTGACAGAGGCTTGATTGAAGAGGAGGGGTTACAACACAACAACAGGACTTGCCAGAAAGTAAATTGAGTTCAGAGGCAAGTTGTTACCCTTTTTTATGATTACGAGGACACACGTCTTTGGAACAACATGCACAAATGAATAGTTCACTTTAAAACCTGAAGTATTAGGAAATTAGGAAAAAACAGAAGTATTGTTTTTTTGTAACATTTCAAACACTTTGTTTGGTATGTGAAAATTGAAAAATGTAGATTTGTAAAATTGAAGCCTTCACTCCTTGCAAAGTCTGAATAACACATTTCTGGCAGATTTATTTGTTGGCCGTGAGGTACATCAGCAGTTATTATAAATTCTCCACAAAGTTCCTATTGGAAACAAAAATTCAGGGACTCTGGACTTCAGTGACTCTTTCCAGATGACTCTAAACCTGAGAGCCAGCACAGATTACAGTCGGACACTAAATCCCAATGATTCAGTCAGTGGTGACTTGAAATAAATAGCTTATCGAACTGAAGAAATCTGATTTGAATTTATTTTTATTTAAAATCTATGGCGGAAGCTTCCCAGCAGTTTGCCGGCAGTTGATGAGCCTTGGCTTGCACACAGTTGGATAAATCTAATGTTTTGTTAACATAGTTGAACAAATTTAATGTTTGTTTCGCTCAAATTCCTACTCTTAACCTGCAAACACACCTTATGTTCCATCACAGTATCACAATATTATTGCTCTCGGTAGTATTCGTGTTTTTTTCCATCCTCCATATGTCTTAGAAAGACACCAAATGATAATCTAAACATTCTCAGACTGTTTTGCTGGCATCTGGGTGAGACCCCAAAATAAACCTGACTTTGAAAATGATCGTTGATTATTTGGACTTTGTTATAGGAGTAACTTCCCTGCTGGCTTTCAGAATGAATCTCAGAAGGATAGCAAGGTGAATTGGACCTACAGTGTTGTTGTTTGGGAGTCTTCTGAAGAAGCTCTTCTCGAACCCCCACCGAACACAGGGAGCGTGAGAGACCGCCTCACCCCTCTTGTATCCGCTTCCTTCGTTCATAGGTTGGACACAAGGACTCGAGAGCAGTTCTCAGGGGAAATCAGCTGCATTGTACGGCTCCCTCTCCAAATGCATAAAATCTGTGGCCCACCCTGCACTAAACCCATCCCTCTTTTCACCGCAGGCTTTTTCGTCTTCCTCTGTGAATGAAAGACCATTTCTTTCGACACTCATGGAGCGGGTTACTCTTCCAGTGCAGGGTGGTTTTTTTTTCAGGGACATGTTCGGTGATGAATGAGGCAGGGAGCGAATGAAAGGCACAGTGTGAGAGGAGAAAAGGGAGAGAGAGCTGTGAATGGTAATCAGATTAGTCTTGATCCACCTGTGTATGTGTGCGTGTGGGTAAGCAAGCAGTGCAAAACATCAGCGCTGGCAGAGACCAAAGTTCTGGCTTATACCATTAACCTAAAGTGATTTACGGCACTGTAATGATACGTCACTTATTTAATACCTCGGTTGGTATTTGAATTGGTTTGTGATCTAATTGACTTATGTAATTGTAATGTAACAAACACCTAGTCAGGCCAACAAGTTTACCTCGTGTGCATGATTTTTTGCATCGCATGAGCATAATCCTAATTACTAGCTATAAAAATATCTTTAATGCGTCTCAAGACTTCTGTTTTAGTCAGCTGCATCTAGCTGTTTCTGAATACAAAAATAGCTATCTTTCAATCACCGTTTTCATGCACATTTTGAAGTATCGCATTGAAAACCGATGACGGAAGCTCAAATTTTGAGAAAAAAAAAATCCCTTGACTTGCAAAAAAGTTTTTAAGCTCGCTTGAGATTGAGGTTTTTGACTGCGAATAATGGAAGATTGAAACGCATTTGCCGAATAAATTCCTCCATGCACATCTAAAAAGTCATGTGACTTTGCACTATGGGACAGCATAACCTGATTAACCAGTGGACCGATCTCATTGCACAGCATCTGAAATGTTGTTATGGTCATTCTTAAATGCCCGAGCAAAGTCTGTCGTCAAAGTATTTATGTATTGCCTATTTAATTACATGACTGCGTTCCCAAACAGCAGGCATCCGCTCCGAAAGCAGTGGCCGCATTTATTGTGTATGACTAATTTATTATAAATTAAAATTATTATACGCCGTTGCTTCTCCTACTTTTCTTAGTGATATTTATTTCCAGTTTATCACGAAGAGAAAATTTTGTTCTCTCTGACTTGTTGGATGGAAACGGTGCTTATTCGCAAATGTTTCATGCAAAATTCCAATTTTGCGTATAACTTAAATCCCCAATTTTGGATGGAAACCCAGCTAATGTGTCTTATATAAAGACCCACTTCCGATACTATGAACCTGTAGATGGTTGGGTAAACCTGATTAAATACATAGCTTATACCAATAGCTAGGCCTGTCGCAATAATCAATATATCGACTTATCGCGCAATATATGTACATGACCTCAATCATTTTTAGTGACGCAATATATAGCCGATTATATTTACTTAAAAATTAAATGTCACCATGTTTTGTACATTCCACTTGCGCCTGTGTTTTTTGCAGCTTCTCGTACATAATGTGCTGTAGTCATGAGGTGCTAGTTCAAATTTTAAAAATGCTTCTATAAACAAAGTTTCATCTGCAGATATGGCCTTGTTTAGGGATCTGTGCCTTTGTGCATACAGACATCTGACTACTAAGTAGTGATTGTGTTTTTCAGCAATAGTGTGCACCCTTAATTTACAGAAAATAGAAGGTCGGGAAAATCTGTAGATGGAAAAATCACCATAATTGTTTTTGTGTATTTTTTTTTTCTACTTGTTACTTTGCACGTTTTGTTAGAAAATGTTTATTTACTATTTATTCAGGTTTTTTAAAGTATCTTATATTTTGATACTTAATTTCCATGATCTAAATATTCTTAAGAATTAAAAGTTTGTTGTCATTTGGAAGTGTGTAGGCCTTCTTGCATTATTATGCTGTTACATTATGATTATATATTCAGTGGCATAAAATGGTCTTTAAAATGACAATGATATCGCTTATTGCAATTATTTCTGGGGTAATATATCGCACAACAAAAAGTTGTTATCGTGACAGGCCTACCAATAGCTTTATATTTTTTCTCCATTTTACAGCGCCAACATGATGCATCACTCCGAAGATGCATTGGTCAGACATGTCAGTGTCGTCTTTTGCTATTGAAATGCTTGTTAATTAATTCCTCTCTTTCTCTTTCTCTTTCTGTTTCTCAGTGCAGGTCTTAGAGGCAGCCCCTTAACTATGGGATTTCAGAACTACTGAGGGCACTTCCACAAAAGGAGGGAAAAGGGGCCGGCAACGGGAACAAAAGGAGAGGATTGAGCTTTTGAAAAGAGGATCAGTTCTTTCGGACTCAGCAGGGTGCATGCAGCCCCCTCAACTGGGCGTCCTCTTTTGTGCGAGCGAGAGAAAATAAAATCAGGTATGCGCAATAAACTGAGAGAGTTCCGGGATGGGGGATGCCCCATGCTAGGGCAGAGGGACAGGACTCTTCTGGTGCTGCTGATCGCAATGGTGCTGACAGTAAGGGAAGTGCGGGCTTCCTGGGATCAGAACCCAATGGAAGTGCTAGGCAACGTAAGGCAGCTGGAGGCGTCTATGCACTCGGCGGTGCTGTCGGACCTACATGAGGCAGAAGCGGTGGTTGCGGCGGTGTCGCAGCCCGGCGGCTTCCCAGACTCCCCGGCGGTGGTGGGCCGGGTGTTCCAAATGTGGGTGCCCATCAAAGCGAAGAACTCCAGGAGCACAGTAAAGGTGAGAGGCTGTTCCTTAAAAGCACATGCCATCCTTCAAAATGCGTTGCAATTGCATGCAAACATATTTGTCCTCTGGTGCTCAGCGGATCGTCCCTTGTATATCAGATAGCGCCACATGAACACTCCCCAGCCAGTGTACTCAGTCAGTGCAAAAGATGTGACTTTGCCCCAAGCACTGCTCAAATCTTATTCTACGCTTTCCTTATGACTGATGGACCATAAAATGTGTTGGTCCCTGTAATAACGCAATACTACATGCAAACACGTGGTCCGCATGCTTGATGGCGTAGAGCTCTCGGAAAACTGCGGGCTGATGCATGGGGGCGCTTTACATTTAGATCAACAGCATCAACAAATCTGTTTGTTTACCAAAATTTCTGTGAGGGCATGGAATTTATTTTCTGCTTTTGTGTAGTTGATGCTACAATTGGCTATTTGTATAAAGCCCAACAAGGTGTGTGCTTCTATCAACTTGTCAGCTTGCATTTCTTTCTTTCTGAAAACCGAGCAGTGCACTAATGGTGCAAACACAATGCAGCCCTGACCAGGCGTCTTTTGTTGACCACCCAGCAGTTTATGAGACATTTTCAACCAACCCGTCCATGTCAACTGTTGTTAAAAGCGTGACCCCCATCCATATCTGTTCATTGTGTTTCTCTGTCCCATCTGAATGTTGGGTGGCTCTCCCAGGCCTTCTGTGTAATCCTACATTCACTGGATCGTTTCTGCCCTGTCAAGCGCATTTTTAAGTTGAAACCACAAGCCCTTTGTGCACTTTCGGAAAATCTGTCTTGACAGCTGTGCCAAAGAATCTAACGCCCAATAGTTAAAGCTGCCTACAGCTGTTCCCTTGCATAGCCATTCAGACCTGTCCAGACCAATAGCCCACAGTGAACTTCCCCTCTCATTTCTTAACAGCATTTAGAATCAGCTTTGCCAATTATAAATAATTTTCTAGTTTCATGAAAAAGTAGCGAGTCGGGCTTGGGGACCAAAATGAATTAAAACTACAACTGCAGTGTTTAAAAACTTGGATTGGTTGTACATGGAAATTGCACAAAAACAGCAGAGTGGTAAAGGTGATTATCAGGGCATAATAGCCCAAAAAAAGGCAAGTGTTTTGATCATACTGTCATCCGTATATATGGCTTCAATATATAGAAAGATACACAAAAACTAACAAGTAATTGTCCTACAATATAAATGCATCTAAATATAGATGGATTGATAAATATGAATAAAAAAAAATAAATAAATAAAAAAAAAAAAATATATATATATATATTTTAAATTCGCATTAACTAATGACACTATACTATAATATAATTATATAACTATAATCTGTTGTTTGCACTTAATATTTCAGTTGATGATGATATTTTATTTTAATTCTTCTTGGCATAAAGTATTGCAGTTGGACTTTACCACTTATTCTGTAGTATCTTGTTGAGTCAGTCAAGTCCAAAGCCCTCTGTTCACACCAGACCCCCATCAGTATGATTTCCACGAAATGCTCGGACCCTCAGATCTTCATAAATAACCTACTGTGCAAAAAGATCCTTTTGAAGTCACTGACCTACTTTTATGCTTTTACATTTCTTGCCTCCATTTTATCAAAAGGAACCAAGGGGATACGCTTAAAAGAGAGAAGAGCTAAGCTCATCTTAACATCCCCTTGTCCTGTTTTGAACATAAATAAAAAAAGCACAAAGCTCAAGTCTTAAATGTCAAAGCCAATTGACGATTGCTCAATCATTTTAAGATATGGAGGCAGATGTTTAGTCGCTGCTAATGTCGATTCTGTTTAAACGATTCGGCGAGCTTCTCTCTCCCTTGTCCTTTAATTTCTATGTATTCCTCTCCTCCTGCTCCTTCACACTCGTCCGTGACGGCAGGATTCTTCGTCTTCTCCCCAGCCCCTCCCTTTTTCAGCACAAAGACTGGCACTGAAACCTAATTAGCCTCAGCAGTGAGGCAGTGGAAAAGTTGTATTCCTGCAGCTGATAATAAAATGGCTTTGGAAATATGAGTCACTGTATGTCGATGGGGAGACGGATGTAACTCAAGATCGCTCCGTTTGGGTCTCGTGGATGCATATTCGCCTTTATTTGTTATGATACTGTCTGCATAGCAACCAGCTTTTGCGGTGCCGGTGTCATCGCAGGCTAGAATTACTCTGCCGCACCACTGGCCTTTCAGTAGTCTTTATGCAGCCTTTCGTTTTCAGAAACGAGGTCCTGTAATTCCTCATTTTAGGTGGGTTTGGAAACAAAGGGAACAGAACACAGCCCTTGGCTTGTATGAATGAATCAACGTTGCGGTTCCTGTTATGTCCGCTAGAGGGCAGTTAGGGGTTGACTAGTTAAGTGTCCTTGACTGTTCTCCTTGTGATTGTTTTAGGAAATGGAGCTCTGGATTTACACCATAAATAAGCCCCTCTTTTAGCATTTATCCCTCTTTCTTCAGGCTCCTTATTTTGCAGATGTCCTATCAAATAGATCCTATGTTGAATTCAAATGTCGAGTTACTGCATATACCCTTCTCCACCTGTCCGCCATGAATGACAAGGCCAGAAGAGCTGTAATTTTCGCTCTCTCCGTGTTTCGATACCAATCCACGATGAAGAATACTGCTTGCCATTCATGAGTTTTATCTTCGCTGCATTTTTTTTTTTCCTCTGCACGTTTACGGTTTTCTCCTTTGTTCATGCTTGTTTCGCAGCATGGATCAAAAGCTGACATTCCCTCCTCACCGAATAGCAATTTAAAGTTTTATTATAAACAAACAGCTGCTCTCCCGGTGAGCCTTTATTCTGTTTCCTTTTCTTTCCCCGTCTAAAAAATGTCAGCAAGCAGAATCAGCATTCATTTGATAACTTTCATTTACCCAGATGAAGGTTGAAGAAATGGACTGCCATCGGCCACTTGAAGCCTGTTTTGATTTCTGCTAGACGGCCTGCTCAGTCGCACATTTTGTAAATCCCTCTCTCAAGTGACCTGAACACACCCCACATTTCATTTGTAATTTTCGGCATAAAAATGGGTCATGTTCCACAGTCCACTGAAAAAGGCCTGCCGTTTTCCCTAGGTAAGAGTGGGTTATTTTCAAAGATCATTCTGTCTCAAAATTAGAAGTGCAAATACTTCGTTCCTCAAAATGTGTTGGGCCGTTATTTAAAGAAGCATGTGCAAATGTATTCAGAGACTGAGATGAGTGGAGTTGCATGAATGTTTAACCAAAGTAAATGGGTTAGTCATTTCTTGTAAACATCTGCTTGGCCAAACTAAAGGGCTATCCCTCTTCAAATTTTCCCCACCGCCTCCTTTGTCTCCGTTTCTCTCTCTAATATCACAAAGACATGCCTGAGCCTACTCCTTCAGAACTATGAATCTTATCTTTTCAGCGGTCTTCATATCCCAACAATGGGATCTTTTCTTCCTGCAGACTCCCCCGTAAGCGTGCCCTACCAATGGGCGGCTTTATTCGACCCACAACGAAGGGAGTTTCGATTTATCCGTGTAATTCCTTCATTTCAGTGGGGAAAAGTTTATTCTTCTCATCAGGCCTTTTTAGATTTTGCTATTACAACCCTATCACAGAGGTCCTAAGGGTTGTTAAAGGGATTGTTCGTCCAAAATGAAAATTCTGTCATCAGATGCTCACTTTTATGTTGCTCCACACCTGCTTGACTTTCTCCTGTGGAGCACAACAGCTTTAAAAGTTCGGCAGAATGTTAAAGACTGACAGTCGCCATTCACATTCCTTGTATGGAAAAAGATTCAGGGAAAGGTGACTGAAGTGGGCTCTCATTTTGCTTAACATAACCTTTTATTTTGAAAAAGGTTTAAAACAACATGAGAGTGAGTAGCTAAATGATGACAGAATTAAAATTTTTAGGTTCCTAGTAGGGCTGTGTATCACCAGCAAAGTCACGATATGATACGCATCACGATACAGATGCCACAATACGATACATATCACGATACAGGACTGCACTGAATTTCACCTCAGCAGAATTTAGTAAAACAGCTGTTTATTAAACACTGCATACTATAGTGCCATTTCTAGCTATTGGCAGAGCAGGCAGCTGACCCCTGCATTATGAAGGGCCTCCATAAATGTACAATATAGGTAATGGCATATGTTTCATGTTTACATTGGGCACTCCCCACCAGGTACAATATTCTGATTGTTTGCATCTTGTTTTTAAACCCATAAATAATAATGTACTCGTTCTAATAAATTTATATTGTAATGTACTCATTCTAATATATTAAAAAATCATATTTACATTGCTGGTAGGTTATCATTGCACAAATTAACACTCTCTACATTTAAAAAAAAAAAATTAGAAGAGTTCTGAACTAATGCGCTGTCTTCACTGTATCTAATGCACACACATGCTCAGTCACTCACACAGATTTTTCACACTTTTTAGCGCAGCCCTGCAATTTTATCAACTTTAATCAATAGCTTAATCACTCAAGAGCTACATTATCTTTCTCAACAAGGAGCTGGTAACATCATTGTTTCTA